TGCCACAGGGCTCCAATCAGTGACAATCAAAAACTCCCTACAAATTTCTAGAATTCCCCCTAGGGGGCAGTGCCTCCTTCCTTGAGAACAATTGTCTTAGATCACCTCTATTATAAAAAGGTAAATGGGTAATGTTGAATTGTAGCTCTGTGACCACATTTGTTAAGAGGAACTGAATTTATACGTTCCTGGTACAAAATGGGATCTGACCCCATTCCAAGGCTGAGCACTGGAGAGGTTAATAATAGCACCGACCTATTTATATAGGGCTTTCCATTTTACCACACTTTCAGAGATGCTGTCTCCTTCAATTGTCACAAGTAGTAAGTTTTTTCCCCCATTTATAGATGAAGAAGCTGGGGTACAGATGGAAAGGCTATCATACTCTGCAGATCAAAACTAAACCCAACCCACTGCTGTCGAGTTGATGCCGACTCATAGTGACCCTGTAGGTCAGAGTAGAACTGTCCCATTGAGTTTCGAAGGCTGTAAATCTTTACGGAAGCAGGCTGCCACATCTTTCTCCCGTGGAACAGCTGGTGGGTTTGAACGGCCGACCTTTTGGTTAGCAACGAAGCACCTAACAACTGCGCCACAAGGGCCTGCAGATCAGACATCACCAATTGTCATATAATTGTCTCAGCAAGCCTTTGGACGGCAGCCTGACAGCAAATAATTCGTGATGGATGTCACTGGCCAGTGCCTGAATATAGAACAATTGTTTCAGCATAGAAATGGACCCAGAAATGGAGGTGGGTAGCTTGGAATCTAGGCCGGATACAGGCTCATTATGAATGTCCTTTCTTGGACGTCTTCCAGGGATGCGGGAGATCCCTGACGCCTCCTCTCCCCCAAACTCCTCCCTACCTCAGCCATTTCTATTCTTCATCCTATTCAAGTGGATCCTGGCCCCAAACAATCAGACATCAGAACCTGCCCATTCCTGGGTGTGCGTGAAGCCTTATTTGACACTATCTCCAGGGGCCTGCAGCCAGTATAGGAGGTGGGAGGAGACTCTAAAGCACAGGTCTGAGTTCAAATCCCGCTGCACTCTCCAAAACTGCCTGATCAGCTGGCTCAGAATGGGAATGGGGAGTGAAGGGGATGAGAGAAGCCAGCCTAGGGCAAGCCCTCACCCTGAGCTTCCAAACTGGGTAACTCTGGGCTGAGCTCATGGCCACCTGATACTGGAAGTCCTTCAGTGGAAGCTCCCCTCCCCTAAACATCTCTCAACATGCGGCCTTCAGCCTTCTTCCCTCTTTCCAGCCCAGCACAGCTCTGGGTCTGCTTAGGAGTCTCACTTTTCCAGGTCAGAATAGAAGGAGAAGGCAGCTGAAGCAGATGGAGCATACAGAGCAGCACATGGCTTCTCCCTGAGCTCTGAGCCAGAGTTGCTTTCTTGGATGGAGGTTTCCAAAACTCCAGTGGCCTCGCAGATCCACCATCTCATAGCTAAGCATGGCCACTCCCAGCAGGAATGGGCCACTGCAACTCTGTGGGTAACTGGCCCACAATAAAAGCAGCACCTTATTTAAGTTCCCATTAAAAAAAAAAAAAAAAAGCATACAATTTCACCAAAATAAAAACATTTTTGAAAAAAGCATTTGTTCACATAACAGCTGTCATCAAGTAAGCATCTACTATGTGCCATCCATCATATTCTGCTTCACAACATATGATCTGATTTAATCATCACAATAACCTTATGAGTTAAATACTATTACTATCCCCATTTTACTGTAGGCCAGAGAAGTTGAATTACATGTCCAAAATTAGAAAGCTAAAAAAATAGTAGAACCAAAATTTGAACTCACAGCTCTCTGACTCCAGAGAGTGTACACATTACTCTAGCTGTCCTGCTGCCCTTACCTAATCCTCTTTCCAGCCTCATAAGGCAAAGTTACGATCCCCCTGGGCAGATGGAGGGACTGAGCCTCAGCAGAGCTGATGATGTTACTGTCTGTGGAAGCTGTCCTCTCATCTGTTTGTTCAGGGTGATGTTGAGCTTAAGATGATAGGCCCAGGTAAAGAGAAGGATTCACGCTGAGGCTGAGACACTCACTAGCTCAGTAACCTTGGTCTGTTACTCGCCTCTCATAGCCTCAATCCTTTAAAATGGGGACAATAGTAATCGTGTCTAGTCTTAGGGTTACTGTGAGGATCAAGCAAGATAATGCATATAAAGTGTTGAGCACGTAAGAACAGTCATTACAGTACTTTAAGCTCCTCTGCCTCTCCCTCAGAGGTTCAGATTTTGTTATCCTGGGTGATTGTGTAGACCAGTGGTTTCTGAACCTGGCTGACGTCAGAATTAATTGCTTAAAGAACAAATGCTCAGGCCCCACCCCAGGAGATTTTGATTAAGGACAGGAATAGGGCCTGGACCTTTTCATCTTTAACAAATTCCCAGGCAATTCTCATGTACAGTGATCAATTTAGCAGTGTAGATGTCTCAGCCACAGTGGAGAAGGAATGCAGGTTGGTTCTTCTCCAAGTCCCCTTGTTTACTTTCTTGTCACTACCAGCACCCCTTTCCCCAGCTCCTCCATATTGGCTCCCCAAATCAAGGACTCTACTCTGTGGCCTAGCAGTAAGTCAGTGGCACTCAGAGTTCCATGGAGGCTGCCTTTCTGGAGGCCTGGGAACTTGGAACAGGGCTGAGAAGCAGGATGCCAGTGTTTCTGCTCTGGATTTGGCAATGAGCAATGTAGTATTTCTCACTATAGGATATGATTTTTACTTGTTTATTTACTTAATGTGTTGCCTGCCTCCCCTGCTATAGAATGTAAGCTCCATCTAAGCAGGTCTTTGGTCATCTTGTTTAGTGCTGTGTCCCCCAGTGCCTGAAATGAGTTCAGTGAATGTTTGTGGAATAAATGAGTTAATGAGATTTGCCCAGCATGAATTGTAACTCTTCTTTTTGGTCAGAGGACATTTCAGGTTCTGAGAGGTGAAGTGACTACCTCAAATCTCCAGTCTAGGTCTTTTGTCTTCTTTCACCAGGCCCTTCCCATAAAACCTGGCTGACACACAAACCTGGCTGGGGTGAGGCTCCTAGGTGTGATGAAAGCTTGGAGTTGCCCCATGAATGGGGCTGAGGCTGATGTGAGGGTGAGAAGGCGGAAGGACAGAGACTTTGAAGGGAGAGGCAGGCTGGGACAGGAGAGCAGGGTGTGAACCTGGTGGGGTGGGAGGGTATGATTTGGCTGTGTGTCAGGAAGTGTTTCCCTCCACCCTCTCCTGGGGGGAGCCCTGACCCCAAGGTGCTTCATTTTGGGAAAGCAGGTGGTCAAGCAGCTGCTAAGGGAGGACGACGGTGTGGCCTGGGCAGTGACCATCTGCTGAGGTCCTATGCCCAGTATTGATCACCCAAAAGATTAATCCCACAGTGGCATGTGGCCAAATAGGTGACAGTTGAGCTTCCGAGTGAAACCAGCACAACCACTACATGCAGCCTCAGACCCGCCCTAAGGGCAGTCAAGGAGTCTGGGGAAGGGAGAGAAAAGGGACCTCAGCCTGGAGTTGGGACCTCTAAGAAAATGAAGTGGCCAAGGTAGAATGCCTAGTGATAATAATAATAATGTCACATTTATTAAAATTTTATAATATGCTGGCACTGCACTAACTGCTTTATATATGCTCGCTTGTTCAATCCTCAAAACATTCTACAAGGTAGGCATTATTACTATTATTCCCATTTGAGAGATGTGAAAACTGAGGCTCAGTGAGATTAAATATTTTGTCCAAGGCCACACAGTAAGTGGCAAAGCTAGGATTCAAACTCAGGTTTGTAGTGATTTTTATGGAAACCTAGGGCTGGGGAAGGTTGTTGGGGCAATTTCAGAGAACAGAGCCACAATGACCCCTGCAAAAGTTGGGGTAGGGAGGGGCTGTGGGATAGACTGTGGATAAATACCAGGCCTGTTTTTATCCCTTCAAACAGGCTGAATCAGGCAAGTGGCTCCCTCTGGTGCATTTAGAGGGGTCTAAATGCCAATCCAGCCCTGTGTCAAACATTTCCCTCCCCTGTACACTCCTGGGGGCTGAAATACTCACTCAGAGAGTTTGGGTCAGGATATTGACTCCAGAATACCCTTGTGAAAATTCACGGAGTGGAAGAGAAACACATTAGTCTGCTGGCACCTGTTAAACATAGTGACCTACGTTAGTCAGCTGGGTCCTAGAGGAGGGGGGCTCGGTTTTATGGTGGGGAAGAAGATGGTGTTCAAAGGCAAGGAAAAGTCTGAGGTTTGTTCCACAGCCTGTGTCTCTGCAATCCCAGAAATTTGGGAATTATAATTTATAGTTACAAAAATTCTAATGGAGACTATGTCCCCTGGGGGAAAAGTGAGAGGAAGCCACTCCAGTGGCTGGAAGAATACCAACTTCCTTTGCTTTTGCTGGAATGATACCAAGTGCCAGCAACGGCAACTCTGTGGCTACCCCAGGCTCAGACCTGCTGGCATTCACGCGTCTAATTTTTAAACGGTAAATTAATTATTATTTACTATTCACCGTGTTAGTAGGTAAAAAAAATGGGCTTCTGAAACTCTGGCTGACACGAGTGGAGACCCCTGGTTTGGAGGAGGGACGGTCCGAGGGACCAGGCCGGGCCCAGAAGGGGTGGTGGGGTGGGGGGGTGGGGGGAGAGGTCCAAGGACAGAGCCTCAGCTCAGCAATCTCAAGGCTGTACCGCGCCTGGCATTTGGGGAAAGGTAGGAACTGGTCCCCGCCACCTGCGGGTCAGCAGCCCTGCCCACAGTCAGGCTGCGGCTGCGCTGGCCCGGTTCCAAAATATGTGAGCACCGCCCCCTCCTCCGCCCCCTGTCCCCGCCGCGCCCGCGGGGTCGGGGGCTGCGCTGCCGGCGCCGGGAGCTGGGCGGGCGTCCCAGCTCGGAGTCGGGTGGCGGGGGGAGCGGGGGCGGTGCTGGGTGGGGCGGAGCTTCGGCGCCTCCGGAGCCTTATTCCCGGCGGCGCGCAGTGGAGCGCTCAGTCAGCCGAGGGAGCTGTGCGTGGCACGCTTCTCGTCATCCTTATCGAGGCGCAGGGGCTTGGGCGGACGGACAGACAGTGAGCAGACAGACGCACAACGGCCGCGAGCACCGCGCAGGTCAGAGCCAAGCTTGCACCGAGAGGCGGACAGCAGACAGTGCCCGGCGGAATCTCCTGCGCTCCGCCCGCCCGGCTCCTGTGCCAGCGCCCCTTGGCCGCCTCTTCTAAAGTGATTGCTGCCTCGCCGCCTCCGCCGGGCCCAGGACCATGAAGCTGCTGCCGTCGGTGGTGCTGAAGCTCCTACTGGCTACAGGTAAGAGGGCTGCCGACGCCCCCGGAGGTCGGCGGGATGGAGGGCGCTGTGCTGGGGAAACGGGAAGGTTGCTGCAGCGCCCCCGGCACGGGCCACTTGGTGGGGCCGGTGCGCCCTGGTGGGCGAGAATTGGCCTTGGTGCGTGGCAGCCGGGGGTCTGATGCGGCCTCGCCTCTCGCCCGCAGTGCTGTCGGCGTTGGTGACCGGCGAGAGCCTGGAGCGAATTCGGAGAGGGCTGGCGGCCGGAACCCGCAACCCGGACCCTCCCACTGGATCCACTGACCAGCTGCTGCCCGCGGGAGATGTCCGGGGCCGGGAAGTCCTAGACTTGGATGAGGCAAACCTGGACCTTTTCCGAGGTAGATGTGGGGGCCGCCCATCCTCGGACCATGGCGGGCAATTGGAGAATAAGCTGATCTGGGATTCATACTGTCTGGGCACCTCTCTGGGTTGGGGGGAACCCAGGTGGCACAGTGGTTAAGAGCTCGGCTGCTAACCAAAAGGTCGGCAATTCGAATCCGACCAGCTCTACTGGGCAGCTCTACTCTGTCCTATAGTGTCACCATGAGTTGGAATCGACTCGAAGGTACTGGGTTTGGGTGGATTGGGGGATATTCATGGAGGACCTCAAGGAAGAGCCTATTGACCTGACAGGAGGGTTGGGGATCCTGGAATATGAGTTCCTCTATCTTTCTTGCCCTTGGGTCTCACCTGCTGGGTTCCTGCCCATCTGGATACAGTACTTTGGGGAAAATTGAGACAGGAAAGGCGTCTGAGGTTGGTACAGTCCTCTGAGGTAAGCTGGATCGTAGGAACAAGGAATGGTTGAAATGATTTCCCCAGAGTACCTTGTAAAAATGGGCGCAAGTCCTAAGTCCCACATCAAATGACGATTATCTGTATAATGGATGTGGAGATGCCCAGGCACATAGTAGGTGTGCAGTGTTAGTCTCCTTCACCCAGCTGTGCCTAGGTTAGGGCAACAGAAGAGAATGAAGAACTCTTGGCCTCCCTACGTGAGGGAGGCTATGAATGGTCCCTAGGGGGCTGTATTGGAATACTTGCTAGGTGTTTACCAATCCTCCCCAAAGTCTGGAGACTTCCTGACCACCTTGAGTCCCTGAGACTCCAAGCGGGGAAGGGCTAGGTGAGATCCTTCAACCAGCATATGTGGCTGTGGCTGTGGCTGTGGCTGTGGCTGTGGCTGTGGCTGGGTACGGGCATAGGGGCAGAGTCCAGAGCTTCAGGCATTGCCTGCTTCCCTGCCCCCAGCCACCTGCAGTGATCCTCTTGAGGGTGGAGCAGATACTGAGCCCAGGAGCCCTGGTATTACTTTATTTGGTTGGAAAGATACCCACCTGTTTTAGCCCCACCTGCTTCTCGGCTGCCCTTCTTCTTTGCACAGAGTTTCCTGTAGGTGCTCTCTCTGCTTCTTGTATAAATCAAGGGTCTGCTCTGAAGCTGAGCCTGGGCTTCCACCTTTCACCCTCTGACAGTGGCCCTCTGGGGTCACCTCTGGCCTGAACAGTCTGGATTCTCCTGGCCCTCTCCTCTGGGCAGTGCTGGACTGTGACTCACCTCCCACCCACACGGCTGCTCCTCATACCTCTGCAGAACTGACTCACTGCTCCCTGTCCCTGGGAGCAACCTGGCTGTCTCCGTGCTACTCTCTCCCTCCCCTCTCTGACTGGCTTGGCTCTCCTGCTTCAATTTCCACGGTTCTGGTCACCTGGGTTCCTCTGAGCACCTGCCTCACCTTCTGAGCTCTGGAGGATCAGCCTGGGACGGAAGAATAAGCTGGCACCTGCCTCTCTTCCTTTCTCTTGGCTTTGCTGGGCAAGGACTGTTTTTCAGATCTGGGAATTCTATCACCTAAAATAAATAACTGCTATCATTTCTTAAGTGCCTGTTGTGTTCTGGGCACTTGACATGTTATCCTGGCTAATTTAATCTTTGTAACAACCTTCTGAGATACGTACCCTTGGTATCCACATTTTACCAAGAACATCAAGGTTCAGAGAGGTTAAATGACTTGTCCAAGGTCTTGTGGCTGTGATTGAAGTACAGCTCTGCTGACTTCAGAGCCATCCATTGCTGTTTTTCTTTGTTGTCTCATTCCTGGCACAATATTCCAGGTGCTCTAGACTTGTAGGGAGTGAAGGGGAGGCAGCTGGGTATATGAGGCAGCTTGGTGTGTAGGAAAGAACACCAGATGTGGAGCCCAGAGACCAGACCCTGCGTGACCTAGGACAAGTCACTCTGCCTTTTGGGACCTCATGTTTTTCATCTGAAGATGGAAGGTCATGATATTCTTTGAAGTTACTTCCAGCTTGAGGATTCTAGGCCTTCAGTCTAATGTATCATGCATATCCTTCTGCCAAACATGTAGCTATAGCCATGGGCAGTGGGCATCTTTTTCCTGCTGGGAGCAGGGAAGCCTGGGAGTGGGGGGACTGGCATCAGACCCCTGGGATGATGGGTGTAGCCCATGGTAAGTCCCAGCTGGATGTCTGAGTGAGGTTGTTTTTCTCCCTGTCTCTCTGAAGCCTGGAAAGAAGGGGTGGGGGCTCATTGTTGTTCCAGTTCCTTCTGGATAGTTCCTTACTTTCCATCTCTCTAGCCCTTGTACACATTGTACCCCCTATCCTAGAGAGCTATAAACAGGACACTTGGGAATAAATGTAAATGGACCTTTGAGAGAAATGGGTGAGCTGCAAAAGGCACAGAGCAGGGTAAACATTTTGCTTGAAGTGAAAAAAACAAGGCCCTAATCAGGGACAGTCTTCTTGCTGTTTCTGAGCCTGGCTCTGCCCTGAGCTCGTGGTACCCTGAAGCTAATGGGTGCCACCTGAAGACATGAGCACTTTCTTATTTTATGAACCGCCCCCCTCAACCTCCAAGTACCTTTTCCAGAAGCAATTTTTGTCTCTGACACTGTCTTCCTGCAAGTGGGTCATTGAGTGCAGCATCAGGAAATGAAGCTGATTAAGGCCAAAATAGAATGAACTGGGGGTGGCGGAGGAGGGGGTGGGGATGGAAGGTGGGCGGTGGGGTGGAGGGGATGTTGGTAGGATTGCCCAATCAGGTGCAGTCACTCAACAGAAGCTAGCATTCTCAGAATGACGTTCTTAAATTGAGTTTGTGAAATGCCTTCCTTGGAACATACCCTTACCTCTACTTCCTCCTGAGGTTCCCGCTTTTTGGTACTGTGCCCAGTCTTCCTTCAGCCTTTGGGAGGCACTGAGCCAAGGGGTATTCCCAGGCCTCTGACTTCTGGTGGGATCAAAGGGTGCATATTCCCTCCAAATGCTGTGCTGTTCTGATTGTGTGCCCCAGGAGAGTCAGAGACTTACCAGGGTGCTTTTTTCCTACAGTTGCTTTCTCCTCTAAGCCACAAGCTGTGGCCACACCAAGCAAGGAGGAATATGGGAAAAGAAAGAAGAAGGGCAAGGGGCTAGGGAAGAAGAGAGACCCTTGTCTTCGAAAATACAAGGACTTCTGCATCCATGGAGAATGCAAATATGTGAAGGAGCTTCGGGCTCCATCTTGCATGTAAGTGTTCCTTCCCATGGTCTGACTCTCGTCAGCACACTCTTTGTCAGCCACGTGATTGTTCCTTGTTACTGTTCCTTGAATTCATAATTCAACCCAGTTTCTTCTCAACCTCTGGGTGGAAGTTGGGAGGAGGAGAAATATTTTTAGTCAACGGAAGGGGCTCCCCCCCATCAGATGCAATTTCCTGTGGTGTGGGTTTGTGACGCTCTTGTATCCTTGGGGACATTTCCTGCTTGCCCAGAAATGAGCATGTGGCTAGGAAAGCTGGCACCTGAAGGCAAGTCCTTCATTCTTGCCCCATGCCCCACTCCGGATGGGAGAAGCCAGTAGGAAACATGGCAGAATGGGCTTCCTGGGTGGGTGGAGTGGAGCTCCTGTGGCCTTCTTTCTCAAGCCCTGTAGGTATATGTGAGGTATATTTGGACACATGCTGGTAAGGTGTGTGCATACATGGCTATGTATGCACAAGTGGGTTGATTCTAAAGCATGATGGGACCGTACAGAGAACAATTATCATGAGAGCAGGGGACACCCTCCTCCCTTCTTCCTCACCCTGGCAAGGGCCAGGAGGTGAGTACATGGAGGGTATTGGCCTTTGGCCATTGGGGTGAAAGGATACTTTCTTTATGAAGGATTAACAGGAAAAGTAAGCCAACCCAACAGACATCAGCCCCCAGTTAGGAGCATCACCCCTTCCCTGGGCAGGGGTGTGGGCAGAGGGGCCATGAATTCCTGGCCGCTCTGCTAGGTCAAGCTCAGCAAACGACTGCCTTGGCAACCCCTCAGGGATGATGGCACTGCCATGCTCTCTGGCAGGCATAATGTCACCACTGTGCCTGAGGCCAACACCCCACGTCAGGCTGCAAACATTCATTCTCTTCCGCTGGGCACAAGGTCCCCGTGGAGAGGCTAGGGGCATGGAGATTCTAGACAGGGACAGGAGGCTGCTGGGTACACACCACCTCCTGACCTGTCAGGAAAGCTGGCTGCCTGTATTGGCGCAGATCCCTTGGCTTGTTATTTATTTATTTATTTTATGACATTAGGTGACAACTTACATAGCAAATTAGTTTCCTATTCGATAGTTTGTACACAAAGTGTTCCATGACATTGGTTCCATTCCCCACAATGTGCCTGCCCTCCCCCCATTTCCATCCTAGGTTCCCTGTTTCCTTTTGTCCTGAATTGCTACCACTTCCTGTCTTCTCAACTTGCCTTTTGGGCAAATGTTGCCCTTTTGATCTCGTATAGTAGATTGTTCTAAGGAATACAGTCCTCTCGGGTATTGTTGTTTATTTTATGGGCACGTCTGTGGTTTGGCTGATGGGTGGTCTCCAATAATGACTTCAGTTCTAGCTCAGAAGGGTGTCTTCGGGCCATAGTCTCAGGGGTTCCTTTGGTCTCTATCAGACCAGTAACTATGGTCATTTTTTGTGAATTTGGTTTTTTGTTCTGCAATTTTTCTTCCTCTCTGTCTGGGACCCTCCATTGTGATCCCAGTCAGAGTGGTTGGTGGTGGTAGCTGGGCACCATTTAGTTTTTCTGGTCTTGGGATCATAGTCCCTTGGCTTTTTGAACCTTCCTTGTCCCCTCTGATTACACATAGCAGAACTGCCCTGTATTGGATAATTGGCAGACAAACGCTTTGCTCTTCACCACGTCCTTGGTCACTTGTGTGTCTTTTCCTATAATATCCTTGTCAGGACCTTTGTATTGGATGGGTTGCTTGAGAGTGGCCTAGGGGTCCCCATATTATCCTTCCCAGGATCTTGGGACAGGGAGGAAATGTTTGTCTTAAATTTCTAAACTGGTATCATTAGCATAGGGTAGAGGCAATGACACTGAGGGTAGTCAAGATGGATTGAGGCCAGGAGTCTGTCTGGGCTGAATTAGTCCAGGGCATTAGTGGATGGATATGGGGCCTCTCATGCTGGACAGAACCCTTGTAAGGCTCTTCTCCCAGAGGGCTGGGTTCTATGGACCACCTCAGCCCAGAGCTCCTAGATAAGGATGCCCAGGGCCAGCTTCCCAGTGGCTGTAGGGATAGTGATCATAACCATAAGGGTAGCTCCTCTCCTTTGCCCTGGAGCTTTGCAGTTTCCAATTAATATGAGTTGAACCCAACAGATACATCTTAAGCACCTACTTGATGCCAGACACTATTCTAGAGGGTGGGGAGATACAGTTAGTCTCTTGGGATTCTCAAAAGCCTTTTGCTAGGTAGGCAGGGGTTGCTATCTCCAGTTGAAAGATAAGGAAACTTGAGCCAGAAAGTGGGAAATGATTTCTCTGTGATCAATAGCTAAATAAGTAGAAAAAGGACAGGGACCCAGGCACCTGACTCTAAGTCCAGCATGCTCTTCATTGCCCCAGGCTGCGCTGGGTGTTGGCCTGCCTGAGCAGGATTTTACAGAGGGCAGCTGTTGTCCTAGAGATCTCTGGAGACTTTTACTAGCCTAACAGTATAGCAATTTGATTTGAAGACTCTTGTCTGTTTCCCTCTTCTCTGGCTAGGCAGAATTTTCAAGGGGCTAGATTCCTGGTGTGGCTTATTCCTGCTTTCTGCCTTCAGCCCTGGGCTCTCAGTGCAGAAGGCAGCAAGAAAACACAGGTCTCCTGGTTTAGGGGAGCATGACATTTATGTACCTACCCTTGGGGGCCCCTTGTGGAGCCTCTCTGCCTCCAGACCCAGGAACCACCAGCCAGGGTGTGTCCAGGCTGGCGTGGTGAGCTTGAGGCTAGCCAGCTTCCTAAACCAGCCCTCCGCCACCACCATTGACAGGAAAACCCTTCTATGTCATCAGCCAAAAGTCACCCTCAGGGAATAGGAACCCTGACTGGCTGCTGACCCAGAAATTGGCAGCAAAGTTATCCTGTGGCTAGAAAAAGCCTGGGGGCGGCTGGACTGAGGAGGACTCAGAGCTGGAAGAGGGGCCTGGGGGCTTCACTTTGCCCCACTGCCCAGCTGCAGAGAGCATCTTAGTAAAGAGTCCCCTGGAAATGGCAAGCTTCCTTGTCTTTGGCAACATGGGACTTGGCTTTTTATCAAGTGCTTTCACCTATATTACCCCATTTGATTTTCACGATACTCTGTAGTGAGGTAGGCATTTATTATTCCTATGTTTTACATGAGGAAACCAAAGTTTAGAAAGGTGAAGTGACTTGTCCAAGATCACCTGGCTAGAAATAGCAGCAGGACCAGTCTGGAACTCAAGTATTTTGAGTCTTTTGAGTCCCCCTATCAAATGGTGCCCCCTCCCCCTCCTGGAGCAGGAATGAGAAACTCAGTTTGGAAGATGTCTCTGGACCCTCGAGGGCTCTTGCTTCTGTTGTAATACAAGTTCTGAAATGGGTCACAGACATGGGTAAGAAGAACATGCCCCAGTTTGATGGGCAGCTGGCGCTAGGCAAGACACATGATCTCACTCCCACCCTGGGATGCTTGGAATGTACTCATCCCTCCCCTTCCCCTCCAACTCCCTGGGGAAGCCAGGAGTCATCTGCAAAGGGAGGGAGAGGTGGGTAATATTAGGATGTTTACATTATTATCCTTTTGACTCAGGGTGGGGGGGTGGAGAGATTATGTAACTGAATTGCGGGGCTCTGAGGCCAAGCTTTATTTCTATCATCTGAGTAACTACCTGTGGGGTTTGAGTGATGGGCTGGAAGTGAAAAACAAACTCAGCTTCTCCCCCTAGTCTCTGAAGCCATCCGGGCGGCTGGATTGAATCCTGGCTCTACCACTCACTAGCTGTGTAGCCTGGGCAAGTTATGTCAGTAAAGAAGTTAAGCCTCAGTCTCATCTTTAAAATGGAGATAGTAACTCCTTCGTAGAGATGATTTTAAAGTGGAATCAAATGATCCTTGTCAACCAGTTAGCACAGAGAACCTGGTGCGTGGTGAGCCTTTAATGTTAACTATTTATTATTGTTGTTAATTATTAATAATAATTGATAGCATTCATAATAATAATATAGTCAGAGAGCAGGGTCAGACATCCCCAGGAACCTATCAGACGTGTGTTTCCTTGGGGTAATCTGCACTGTTCAGCGTGGAAAGAGTCATGAACTTGGAATTGCCAAAACTCGTTTCTAGTTTTGGTCCTGCTGCTTTCTAGTGAAACTGTTGGCAAATCATTTAATCTGACTCTTTCAATCTGTAAACTGGGGCTGTACCTGCCTACCAGGGTGTTATGAGGCCCAGTAGAGCTGGTAGATATGGAGAGTGTCTTGTAAACTGTGAACTGCTATGCATGGGTCATTTTCCAGGGGAGCTCCTAGCAGCTTGCTCTACGTTCTGGCAGGATGGGGTTGTTTTGCCCACCTGGGCCAATGGAACAGATGCCTGGAGAGGCTGGGCAAGGAGCTGTCGTGTCGTGGGCTAGGGGTTGCAAAAAAAGACCCTGACCTACATTTATGCTGGACTGAGGTGGTGCACAAAGCACCCAGAAGGAGCTGGGACAGGGAGAGGTGCTGGGCAGAAAGGCAGGAACAGGGAAACAGCACCCCCAGCCATGCCTTATGCCAGTGCCCAGATGCCTGACCCCTCTGCTGCTGCCAGGTCTGGACTGGTCTGCTCTGTAGAGCTTTCCTGGTATCCACTTCAGCAGGAAGAAGGGATTCCTCACTCTGAGGCACCAGGTACACAGCCTCTTTCCAGGGAAAGCTCAGCTCAGAATAGAGGACTACCAGAAGCCAGTGGCCTAAAGCTCCCCAGGCAGACAGTGCCACCTCACCCCTGGCTGGAGGTAGGCAGTTGTGGGGTGTGAGTGGGCAGCACACTGAGCTCAGAGTCAGATGATCCACACCCATGTCTCTGTTGTGCCATGTGACCTTGGGAAAACAACTTTGCCTTTCTGTAAAATGGGGCTTTTAGCTACATCAAAGGATCTTCGAGGGGATCAGATAAAGGAAGGGACGTGAGTGTACTTATTCAACTGTAAGCACTTCCAAGTCTTCTTCAGAGCTTCAAGGAAATGCTTTGCATTAGAATCATAGAGGCAGTAGCCATATGATTTACTTTCTGAGTAAGAAGAGCTGCCTGGGGGTTGTTTCTGACATTCTTACATCCTCTGGCAGAACAGCTGGGCACAAAGATGTTATCTTGGTTGGTTTGCTTTGTCCTGTGGGGAAGGAGGCCTGATACCCCAATGCTCAAAGGCCAATGGCTTGCAAGTTGGCCCTACATCCAGGAGGAGCTGGGAGTTAAATGAAGGGAACTTGAGAAAAACGACTCTTGGCAAAGGGACAGGTCCTATTAATAGGCTGGGCAGTGGCGGAGAGGACTGGACACGGGAACATTGATGGGAAGGCTGGTTTATTTCTGGGTCAGGGTGTTGAGGGGCCTCACTATAGGAAGTGATACTGAATCCCCTCACTCAGCCCACCAACTCTTGTGCCCAAGTCTTCTTAAGTGGCTTAAACAGGATATCTTCACACACGTGTAATAAATCAGTCACACATGGAACATATCTAACCGAGCCCTTCAAGTCCTCCTTCACTTTTTCCCTGCCTGGAGCAGGACTCTTGGGCCAGAGAACCAGAGAGAATGGTGTGTGGGGGGGCATGGAATGAGGGAGGAAGGCCATGGAGCATTCAGAGGGGCTTTTAAAGAGTCTCCTACCAAAAGAGAAAGATAGAGGAAGGACAAAGATCATGGTTAGAGATTGATAGGCTGGAGGTATGAGGAATGGGGTTTGGCTGGGCTACTGCCAAGGGAGAAGGGCTGAACCACTAACCCTAACTCCTTGTTCTGTCTTGAACCAGCTGCCAGCCGGGTTACCATGGAGAGAGGTGCCACGGGCTGAGCCTCCCAGTGGAAAACCGCTTGTATTCGTATGACCACACAACCATCCTGGCCGTGGTGGCAGTGGTACTGTCTTCTGTCTGTCTGCTCGTCATTGTGGGGCTTCTCATGTTTAGGTGAGTGTTGGGGGCCCCTGCTGACTGTTTCTGCAAATTACTCCATTGTTCCTCCTTCTGGATCTTCTGGCTGGTGATCACATGAGTCCCCCACCTCCTCAAATCCTAGGCTAGGGGTCTGACTGACGTTCCTGGGTGCTGGTTCTCCAAGAGCCTGGTTTCTTTGGTATGACATGAGTCCTGTGTCTAAAGCCCAGGGCACAACCTGCCAGGCCACAGCAGGTTCTGCTTTTCACAGGAATTCTTTTCCTGCCTCTATGGCTCAGCAACCCACCCATGGAGTCAGCTCTTTACCCATTTCTTTCTCCTGGCTATGTTCTTTGATGACATTAGTGTGTGAGTTGGTAGTCAAAGCATGGATGTATATCCTTCCAATTCTGAGTCAACTGGACATCAAGCCATGCTTCCAATCCAGGTTATGTCCTAGGTCAGGGGAGACCTACCAAGTAGTCTATGCCTGTTTTCAAGCAGTGTAACTCAATTGCTGTAAGACCTGGAATGAGTTGCCTCATCTTTCTGAGGATCACAATCTTTCAGTGATTGTAATCTCTGCCCATCTACCTCATAAGAGTACGTAAGGATCAATGAATGAGGTGAAAGCTCTTTATAAATTATAGCCTACTGTTAGAGACAGGCATCCCTCTGGGAAGCTGGTCTTTGACCAGGGGTCCGTTGGGCTGCCATACCCTCTGGTCTTTTCCAAAGAGTGGAAGGAACCACCATGGCAGACTTCTTGGGAATGAACTGCTCTGAGACATGCATCCTGTGCTTCAGTTTCTCCTCTATCATAGCAAACAGGGCTTGCTCACAAAACTTATCTTCCTCAGGTACCATAGGAGAGGAGGCTACAATGTGGAAAATGAAGAGAAGGTGAAGTTGGGCATGACTAATTCCCACTGAGAGAGACCTGCACTCAAGGTAATGGTTCATCTTTACCCCATGGCACCATCCCTACCTTTCCTGGATCTGTTTCAAGAAATGCTGAATTCTTCTTTTCACCTAAGGGTTGGGAGGCAGGAGGCAGGCTACCACGGAGTCAACATCACATTGCAGAATTGTTTTCAAAAAGGCTGTGGGTGCTTCATCCACACTTAGGGTAAAAGTTGCTAGACAGATACTCAGGAGAGATGTCTGAGAGGACGGTTTTTCCCTCCCTCATCCTTTCTCCTTCCCTCCCTTCCCAGACGACCTTTCTACCTCACCTTTTAAGACTGGACCTGGGAGATTTAAATGCCTTCTTCTTGTGCTTTAGGAATCAGCTGGGGACTGCTACCTCTGAGAAGACACAGGTTGATCACAGACTCTGCAGAGGTGAAGGACGGCACAACTAGCCATGAAGACTCCTTTGTCCCCATTTGCTATCTAGATTGGGCCTCCCATAACTGCTTTGCCAAAATACCAGAGCCTTCAAGTGCCAAATGGAATATGTTTGATAGGATCTGGGTCAGAAGAAAGCAAAAGCAAGGGCCCTTCATGCCCTTCTAATTTCCCTCAACCAAACCCCATTTACCCCCATAAGTTTGTTTAAACACTTATCTTCTGAATTCAAATGCCAGTTAAATTCCATATGCTCCAGGATCTTTGACTGAAAAAAAAAAAAAGGAGAAAGACAGGAAGAAGGAAAGATTTGTGGACTAGAGGAGAACAACAACGATTGAGAAGCCATGTACTCAAGTAGTCACCAAGGGATCTGCCATTTGGACCCTCCAGCGCTGGATTTGATGACCTAACTGTGAAATACCACAAGCCCAAGAACTCTGAATTTTGGGACTTCTGCCCAGATGGAAAAATAACTTAACAACTATTTTTTTGTTTGTTTGTTTGTTTATTTCGTTTTTAATTATCTATTTATAATATTTCATGTGCCTAGATTGTTACTTTGGCAATTTCCTGGCCCTCCACCCCACATCCCCCATCATCTAGCTCAGCGCCACACATCTGGCTCAGCACCTCTGCCACAAATCTGAGTGGCTCTGTGACCCATCTGTAGTAATTTATTGTCTGTCTACATTTCTGAAGATCTTCCATGATCAGAGTGCTGCACGGTCGGGAGTTATGTATGGTCGGGATGTAGGAGTTAACTTTGCAGGATCCACTCTATGAGTTGGACTGTAGTCTTGCCTAGGCAATTTTGTCTACCGTGTGTGTTTTGAAAGCTGAAGGTGCTGATGTCAAGGTTTAACAGATATTGATGTTTCCCTGTGTCCTCTCCCTCCCAAATCTCAGAAGAGGTTGGGCTCCCATGCCTGCAGCTTTCCTAGCCCTTCCCCGCCATGGCCCCAGGCCCACAGAGTAGGAGCTCACTCTCCTTTGCGTCAAGACATTTCTCTCAGTCCTGCCATTCTTCTGGTGCTACTCCACACAGGGGTCAGTGCAGCAGGGAACAGTCTAGAGAAGGTGTTAGTCAAGAAAAAGGCTGAGGAGGAACAGGAAACGTTGGAGCTGACTGTTCTTGGTAATTACTTGATTACCTGCCAATTTCTACAGAAAAGGCTGGAGGTGAGGAAGGCTTTTGTGTAACCCCACTCACCTCACCGAGACTACAAAGGTATGCTGTATTGGCCCCTTCTGGAAGTTTCTGAACTGTTACAACCTGTATTTCCAAACCTGGTTCATATTTATACCTTGCAATTCAAATAAAGATAACCCTTACTCCACAGACTTCTGTCGGCTTGTTTTAACTGAGAACTGGTTTAACATAGGTATTTTTTAAGCCCTGACTAGGTGTTAGACTCTATGCTAGGCCTATTTATGTGTACTATTTCAATATCCCCAACAACACTGTGATGGAAGTACTATTATTATTTATCCAGAGGAGGATACGGAGGCTCAGAAGTTATATAAGTTGCCTGAGTTATCATACACAGTTGGTAAGTGATAGCGCTGGGACTCAGACTCTGGTAGTCTAACTCCAATTATTTTGTCTTAGTACGTACACCGTACTAACTCTAAGACAAGAGAGAATAGATCTTTCACATAGGAAGTTTGGCTGCCTGTAACCGGGAAAGATATCCATTCAACCAACAGCGCCTGGACTCAAGACTTGGTCCTGTGTTGTACATGCAAGCAGGCATTGTTTCTGGTGAAAACCAGATGTCTTTGACTTCTCTCTTATGCTCCACAGCCAATCCATCAGGAAATTTTGTCAGCTCTACTTTCAGACTGTGTCCTGTATGCAACCACTTCTCATTACTGCCACTACCATCACCCTGGTCCAATTCACCATCGTCTCTTGTCTGGATTCTTGCGGTAGCATTCGTTATCTCTTCCTTCTTCCACCTTGCTCCCCTACAGTCTATTTCCAACATAATAGCCAGAGTGATAATTTCAAAACATAATTTAGATCTTGTTTGCTCTCCAGGCCTTCCCTGAACACCCTATTGTACAAAAGCACATTCCTCCCCCACCCTACTCTTGTTCTCCTTACCTTTCTTTGTTTTCCTCCATAGCCCTATTATCACCACTAACACATTCTTATTTATTGTTTATTGTTTCTCCTACTAGAACATTAGCTCCATAAGGGCAGGGATGTGTTCATTGCTTCAATCTCAGATTCTACAACAGTATGATTGAGTTGTAGGCCCTCAATATTTGTTACATGGACAAATGAATTAATATAAGAAACGATTAAAATCCAGTCAAAGGCCAGGAAGTGGACAGGCATGCAATCCAGCACTTCCCTGGAAGTGTTTAGACAATGTTTAGAGAATGGCCTCTGTTGGGGAGAGTGGATGGTGATGACAGAATGAAAGTGGAATTTGGGACAGGTCGTGTGGCCATGGTGTTCTGGGTGGATTGGAGGTAGAGCGATCCATTGGGAAGCCACTGGACCAGTCACTCTGGACTGCCCCCTTGTCATCTTCTTGCCTTGGAGAACTGTGACATTCTGAAGTTTCTACAAGAGCATAGGCAGAGATCTAGTATTTACTTTGAATTTCCTTTTAAAGCATTGGGCAACAGTAACTACCAAAGCTGAACATATGCAAATCCTACAAGCTAACAATTCCATTCCTACAGATAGACCCGAGAGAAATGAATACATATGCTCACCAAAAGATATAAACAAGAATGATCTTAGCAGCACTATTTATAATAACTAAAAACTAGAACCTACCCAAATACATTAGTGGTGGAATGAATAAATAAATTGTGGTGTATCTATGTAATGAAATACTAAATAGCAATATGGATGAATCTCACAACATAGTGCTGAATGAAAGAAGGCAGGCGCCAAAGGGTATATTCTGTACAATTCCATTTATTTAAAATTCAAAAACAGGCAAAACTAATCTACTGTGAAATAAATCAGGGATGAGATTCCTGTTGGGATGGATACTGACTGGAATTGGGCAGAAGGGGAACTTCCGGGGTTCTGATGATGTTATGTTCCACGATCTGGGTGCTGGTCACATGGGTGTATTCATTTTGTGAAAATTCATCAAGTATGACGCGTATATTTTTCTGTATGTATTATACTTCAATAAAAAGTTAAAAAAAGAACTTGGATAGAGGACTCTTTTGTTATTTGCATTACATAAAGTTCTGTAAAGTACCAATGTACTTTTTTGGTATCAGAGAAAATAGTAAAGATGTCAGAAATAACTGTGGAGTAGTGAGTTACTTTGAACTGTCTTGTCCGTGGGCTTCTTTCCTGCTTCCAAGCTTCAAGCCTCCAGCCCTCACACTGGGCTGGGCTTTTCCAAGCACACTTTGTTTCTCAAGCTAATATTTCCTGCAGGCTTTGGACTTCCTGCCTTTCAGCTGCTCTCTCCTCCTGCCCCTGCTGCTGATGGGAGCTCCCATTGGCATCTCTTAGCTGATAGAGTATCCCTGGGAGCCTCTGAACTTGCAGCCACTTCTCAAGATTGGCTAGCAGAAGATATCTTGCCTCTTCTCTGCAGGCTTCCTTTTCAGCCTCCTTTGAGACTTTTTGTTAATACTGTTCATAATAATCATTATTAGCATAATGAACATCTAACATTCATGGAGTGCTCACAATGCACAGGGCTGCACGCTTTCAGGCATATATTTTATCTCATTTAAGTCTCACCAAACCTAGGAGGTAGGTGCTCTTACTATGCCCATGAGATAGATGAAGAAATTGAGACTTAGAGAAGTTAAATGATTTGCCTAAGGTAAGTAATAATGGCAGAATGTGAAACTGGGAGTTCCTGAGCCTGTACTCTGACCACTAAGCTGCACTCCTAAGTAAATTCTCTGTCACAGTCTTGTTTTCTCTTCTTCCCATATCCAGAAATGATATAGTGAAGAAATCATATGAAAGGGTCCTTAGAGAGCAACTGCTTAGAGCTCAAGGGTTTCTTTTCTTCTCCCAATTTATAGTCATGAAAGATATTATGAATTGAATTGTCCCCCAAAAATGTGGGTCAGTTTAGCTAGGCCAGGATTCCCATTATTGTGTGGTTGTCTACCATTTTGTGATCTGATGTGATTATCCTATGTGTTGTAAATCCTAACCTCTATGATGTTAATGAGGCAGGATTAGAGGCAGTCATGTTAATGAGGCAGGACTCAATCTACCAGATTAGGTTGTGTCTTGAGTCAACCTTTTTTGAGACATAGAACAGAGAATGGAGCAGAGAGGAGAGGGACCTCCTACCACCAAGAAAGAAGAGCTGGGAGCAGAACATGTCCTTTGGACTCAGAAGCTCCTAGACTAGGGGAAGATTGATGACAAGGGCCTTCCTCCAAAGCTATCAAAGAGAGAAAGCCTTCCCCTGGAGACAGCACCCTGAATTCAGACTTCTAGCCTCCTTAATTGTGAGAAAATAAAATTCTGTTTGTTTAAACCACTCATTTGTGGTATTTCTGTTATAGCAGCACTAGATAACTAAGACAGATACCTTATCAGGGAACAGTGGAAGGAACAGGAGTGCAGACTTACCCAAACTTGGGTCTGAGTCCAGACCTCACTGCTAATTAGGGGAGTGCCCTTGTGCATGGTAACCTGTCTCTCTAGAAAGTAGAGACACTAAAATTATGTCCCTTGAACAGTTACAAATATTGCATGTGTGAGTACAGTGTCTAGCTCAGAGCCAGACACCTGCTAGATGCTTAGTACATGTTGGTTATCTCAAGCAACCTATCCAAGGAGCTAATTAGTAGCACATCTGGGATCAGAACCTAGGCCTCTGGTTCCCAATCCCCAATTCTTTCCTTAGAAAGAAACAATCCTTTTCAATCACTGTTTTGTATTTTAATGTCAACTTTGGTTTCAAGGAAGCTCTAAAGGGTCTTAGTAAGTATTTGTAGACTTAAGAAGCTGTGGAACAGCAACTTCTTTAAGAAGCCATGGAACAGCAATTTGTCAACAATGCTTGAAATTCAAGCTTTCTGTTTGCGGACGTAAATACTCCTGGGAATAGTTATGCATTAAGTGACTGGCATTCTTTGTTGGTGTAATTCATTTTAGCTTCATTCATTCAGCAAATATTTACAGAGGCTTCTATATCACCTTCTAGATGAGATCCATGATCTGAATGGAATGGGGGTAGGGAGAGAAAACAGGAAGTAATTTTAGAGCAAGGGCATTCATTTGTTCATTCAAAATATTTACTGGGCACTTACTATATGTCAAGTAGTATTGT